ATGTGGATGTGGTTGTGGACGTGGACGTGGATATGGATGTGGATGTGGATGCAGATAAATGTTTGTGCGTAATTGTCAAGTGTGACTTCGGAGACTTCTCATGACAGGACCGATGCTGGAGTCGGAGCCCCACAAATAAGCCGCGAGCGGGTTGCAAGCTCATCGCTCAAGGCGTGTTGGACTGCCATGTTAGGCTGTCGAAGTGGATGGAACCTCCTCAATTCTGTATTCTTTTCGTTTCGTGGCCTTGACCATGAGCTTGCGTGCGAGACTAACGATGTTTCCACGTCTGCTGTTGCAAGCGTTTTCTTTGCGGAGCCAACGCCTCTTCTGGCCGCGATCGCTGCTGTTTCGCTGTGACCGGAGCTCGAGACGCATCTTCGCGCGCCCAGCGAGTGACCCCTCGACTTTCTTCCTCGTCGCTAGAATCCCAATCTGCCTTTCTCTTTGCCATGCGAAACGACGTGTTTCTGTCCGATTCTGGTTTAGGGTCTTCCAAACCTCCAAAAGGGAAGGGTTGGCTCTCATCCTCGTCATCATCGTCTGACCATGCCTCCATCATACGATGCAAGCGAGCATGAGGTTCCGCGGCGCCTGATCCCTGGTGTTGGGCAGATGTAGACCTGGACGCTGCGGCTGCTGCAATTTCCGCTGCAAAGAGATTTGGTCTGGGTTTAAGGGACTTGCGCTCGGCACAATGTGCCTTTTGCCCACACTCCGCCCCTATCGTCTCATCCCACTCCACTGCTCCATCAGATACTTCGGAATTCGCGCTTGGCTCATCGTAAGCATTTGCCAAGGGTTGCTCGACCATGATGTCGCCATCTTCGTACTCGTAGCTGAAAGCGCGTGTTGAAGCGGTCGCTGAGGGAGGCGAGAAAGGTGCGTACTTCTCCGGGGAAGGCGGAGAGATGGGCGCGTACTTTTCTTGAGGCGGCGACAAGGCCGCGTTCGCTTCTCGAGGTGACGATGATGCCGACGTATCCTCTTCACAACATGGCGGCGAAGCACGAGCACACTGCTCCCCCCGCTGATCCCCCGAGCGTGATCGTCTGACTCGCTTCGTCGTCTTGCCGCAGCCTTCAGGAAAGAGCAAGCGGGGCACGATTTCCTCGTCATCCGAATCGTCCATCTGTGGGGTAGGATAGGTTACGCGCTGACCGCGACTGTCAGGGAGCGAGCGCGAATTAGCCTCCATCCGCCAAACGCTCTAGGCTCTGCTTCGATACTTACAAGACGAATGTGCGAAAGTTGGGGTTCCAAGCAACTTTGATTCTTCGACCTCCCAGCTCAGTAGGTCCATCAAGCGGATTATCATCATCCTCCAAGACAATTTGCGGCGATGCTGTGTGCCGTCTTGGTGGATTGAAGACAGTCTCCTCATTGTTGAGTTGCGTTGCAACATCTGCAAATGTTGCCGAAAGTTTGGCCTCTGGACCGAGTGGATGCTTGCTGTGATCGTCTGGACTGGCAGCACGGCTGCCCGAGCGACCGCTATCGGGCGGAGATGGATAGCCATAGATGCCTTCTACTGAGCACTGGCGCCCCATATTCGATGCTTGCGCGCGATTTGACGCCTCTGCGTGAGCATGCACTGCTCGGCGAATATGTGCCATGGCGCAGACTGTATTAGACTTTGACAAAGTTGCTGCTGGAAGGGCGCACTACTGAAGATGGGTGGAAGATGGGGCAAAGGGAGGGCCTAAGAGCTCGGTGATCGGTGGCGGAGTGCTCGTGTGTGCGGTCGAGGTTGATTGCATGCGCGATTGAGATGTCCCTGGGCATCGTCATCACGAATTAGGAGACGCAAAGGAGCTTCGCGTGATGCTGCTGGCTCTAGCTGCTTGTGCTCAATCGCGAGATAGGACGCGTCGCGAAGATACGTCCTACAAGCAACGCGTAAATTGACGCGTTAGACTCGACGCGTTCGCCGCATGACTTGACGCGTCTCGTCACGCGTGCGAAGTCGGCATTGTGGTTGTGGTCCAGATTCGCGATTCTTGATTGTAAGCAAGATCGTCAAGAATCAACGTTGCCTGTTCGACCGTCACAGAATGCTCTCTCTCGCTGGCCATCCATCTTAGCAGATAGCAAGCTATCACAATGAGCCAGACTTCCTGCCCCTTTTGATCGCGCTCAAGAAGAATGGCTCCTCATCGGGGCGGCAGCCCTCAAGCCCAGGTTTGACCATCTCACATGTGTTTCAAGGTTCTCTATGATCTACATTGTGAATGGCAACAACTCTCTTGCTTTGTAGATCATGCTGTAATTTTCGCTTCGTCGATCTTGGCGATTTACTGAGCTCCAGCGAGTCTCTGCGATCAGATGCGTTCATTGTTGAGCCAGCGGTGGAGAAGCTGAAGGCTTTCTTTGGGACGATCGTAAGGAACCATGTGACCGGCTCCCAGAACTGTTGCCCACGTCAAATTGCCACCTTGCTGCACTTCACCAGATTCGTGACCATCCACAAGCCATTGCTAGAGAATATGAAGCGTACGCGCAACGCGGGCAGCTGTCAGCGTCGCGATCAAAAGTGTTCTTGCTAGACAACTCACGTAATTCTTGGCTTTATGGAACTCTTCGGCGTGAGTCCATGGCATGTTCATGACCCATGCCTTGTTACCAAGCCAATTGCAGATCCAATCAAGTGTTCTGCAATCAAGCAGTCCCGCGTGAGCCTAAACGCTGAGTCTCCTGCAATGAGCGCACTCACCCCACGTAGATGAGAACTTTGTAGCCGCGCTCCAGGAGACCAGAAATGTAGAGAGTGTTGTCTACGAGCCAGTCTCCACTCTTCCCGAAGCCTTCGTGCACCTTTTCATTGCAGCTGTAAGGCGATCAAGCGTTGGTCAGGCTGAATGTGGATGTCACGACACCCGAGACGCTTCATCCGGCACTCACCTGGTGTACTTGCCGGCTTCTGGTGCAACACCGAGCAATTCGCGCACGTCCTCGCGATTCAGGTACGCAGTGATATCTCCCACGATTGGATAACACAAGCTGCAGAGTCGAGGCGTCAGCAAGCGTCAAGTAAGCCTGGATGTCCGTTGAACTCACTTTGGCTCAAGGCCAACCTCGCAGCCATCGTTGACGTTGTAGGGGTTTCTCAGCGTTCGCTGATAAGGTCCCCCGAGCTTTTCCAAGCACGTGTCGAAAGCATTTTGGCACAGTGCGACGTCGTGCGAGTCCCGGCACTACAGATCAAAGCTCAAGTCAGTGGACGAGATCGGATCCTCGATGTGATTCGGAACCCACCGCATGTGGCAGCCATTTTTCGCATCTTTGCCTCCAACTATATCAAGCAACCAAGATGATCTATCAGCAGGAAAGCCACCCCAATCAACACCGCATGACTCACAACTTCATCTCCTTGCAGGTGCGAATGTCGAGATATAGCTCGTTGCCGCCCTTGGCGGTGCAAGTGCTGGCGGCGAACGCTCAGCGTCAGAGTTCCTGGCAGTCCACCGCGGCCTCGAAGCCTCCGTGTTGCACTCACAAGTCGTAATAACTCAGAGTCTGCGCTACGTCGTCTGTCAAGCCATTGCCGATGGCGACGCGCTTCAAGTTGATTAATTCCCCGCGAGAAAGTTTCTTGTGGTGACGCGCAGCTTTGGTCTCCAGTGCGAAGTTGCGATCAGCGATTTCCGCAGCATAGCGTGGAATGTATCGACCGCCATAACTTTCTCCAGTCATGATAAAGTCGTTGTCCACGAAGCGGTCGAACGCAGATAGGAACAGGCGCAGGAACTAGGAGACGTCGTCGTTCGTGTCATCAGCATACTTGGCGTGCGAGACATGAGTCAGACTATGACCGCACCTTGTATAGATCCTTGGCCCCCTGATCCGAATCATACACCAAGTCACCGAAGCGCGCGTAGGAGTAGCCAACACCTGGAACGAGGGTTTAAAGGGTCAGCGCAAAGCTGCGCTTTCCGTCACGCAACTCCTTCCGTAGCACTCACCGACCGGCTGATCGATGAAGATGACATTCGCCTTGGCATTCCACCCGTACGGGTTGACTTCCGTGCCGTTGATGGGTGGGCCATCGATGCGAGCGCCTGTTCCCCCAGAGTCTTTGACGCGGCAAGGGCCGAGTTCTTGGAACAGTCCGATCGCAGAGGAGCAGCCGGGTCCTCCATTGGTCCAACTTACCGGTGAGAGGAGCGGACGTGAGCTCCTTGCTATCTACACCATGAGCACTCAAGCGGCTACACTCACAGGATTAGCGGATCCTTACTTGGCTCGCTGCGAGACTCGAAGAAGTAGAAGAAGAGTGACTTGCCCGTGATGGTGTCGATGTACCCACTCCAGCTGGTCACGCTAGGGTCGCAAAAGCTCTCATTGGCGCCAAACGTCTGACCACTGTTCTTGCCAGCAGAGATGCGCTTGATTCGGACGCTAATCTCTGGGAACTCCGAGTGGGTCAGAACAGTGTGTTTGGAGCCCTGCTGAGCGATCAGCTGCTCTACGGTCATCGGCGCTCCTTTGTCGGTTCTGGACGAAGTTGCAAATGGCAGCTCGACCCGCAACGGGCCTTGCGATGTGAACTGAAAGCCCTGGTTTGGATCTGCGAACGCCTCTTGAGCATCCACCGACACACCAAGTGCTGCTGGCGAAGAAACATCAGCATATTGGGTGAACGGCACTTGGGCAGCTGCTGCGCTTGCTACCAAAGCAGCGAGCAGAAGGGAAAGGGTGTGCATGATCAGGGAGGGAAGTTGCAAAGCACAGAAAAGAGTTGCGAGCGTGGAAGGTGGGTGATGGTGGGGTGTGAGAGGGATGAGAGGGATGGAGATGGGCAGGATCTCAAGACTCAGCAAGCATTCACGATTTGTAGGTCGCACGGTGGGGCTGCGCTTGTTCCGGCGATTGCTCCGTTGCTACTGTACATGTACGTTCCTGCTTACCATGCGTCACGCACACTTGACTGCCAGCTCCGTGTTGTTCCCGCCCATCACCCACACCTCACTCTGTAGCTTGTCGCAGACGGCCTTTCGGCTCTTGGTCCGCTGCGCAATCAAGCAAGATGATAACAGCTGGGCGAGCCACTCAAACTCGTAAAGTACTGACGACTGTGTGACTGTCTGTATGCAGAAGACACAGACGAAGAGGGCCCTCCATGCAGCCGTGATGCACTGACTGCACTCTGACTGACGACTCAGACTGCAGGTGCATGAGAAAGGCTGCATGCATGCTGATGGCTGATCTGAGCGCGCGCGCGACCTTAATTTGCAGTTGTGAGTTGCAGGCCCGCGTGCTGCGTGCTGCGTGCTGCGTGCTGC